ACCAATCGTAAATCGTACAACTTTCTTTCTTTTCGTTAAAAAACTTTTCTTATCGGGGAAACATGCGAAATTCACTTTGTGACGTATCTCAATGTGCGTTTATACTTCATCCATTCTCTCTCTCTGTTTCAACCCTTGACAAGAACGTAGCCCGTTCCAGCTCATTCAAACCCAGCAAACCACCTCTCGTCTTTCTCTCTAAGGAGAAACTGTCGCGATGCAAGTTTCGCGAGGTGGAAAGTTTAGTTCTGACCTGTTTCGTGGAACTATGGATATACCCTTAGTTAGGAACCCCGTACTACAGACGTCGTCATTGGTATGTGCACGGCAAGACAATGTATCACCATTTTCTATTCTCCTCTTTCTATCTTCCTCTCTCTCTCTCTCTCTCTCTCTCTCTCTCTCTCTCTCTGTTTCACGGTTCTAGGACTCCGGGATAGGCAGTAATTCGGTTTCGGTACTCTCAAACAAGGAAAGTAGTAGTAGGAGGAAGAAATGGTGTGCGTCTGAACAGCAAAGAATTTTACACACGTTCATAAATTTCCTTTGACGCGGAAAGATCGACGATGCGTGACGTCGATCGATTTTCAATCTAACTCCTCCTCCCCATCCTAAATTTCATTTCTCATTAATTTTATTATTATTATTATTAGTATTATAATTCTTTATCATCGTCTTGTCTTATGGGGAAAAATCTTAACGAAGATTCGTACACATCCCAAGTATCGTCTACTAAATCTTTCAAATCATCCGAACATGCACATTTTAAGGCCAACATATATACCACAAAATTTGATTAAATCATTTAATAACATTCGCTGTATATTTTTAAACTTTAATCCAATTGACCTAATAAGTTATTGATTTTTGTTTTTTTGAAGGACTTGAGATAAAAAAAAAAATATTACTCGAAGTTATCGAATGGATGCAATTTCATGTAATTGCACTTCAAAGTATTATTTAACAAAAACAAACATTAGAAAACTATCAAAAATCACATATGCAATTTTAAAAACGATCATCGCTCAAAACTCGTGCTTCAAAATACGATTTTATTCATAAATTTGCAGTTATTTTTTAATTTTACCAATTAACCTTCCAATCATAAATTTTATATATATTTTTTTTTTCTTTTTAATTGGTTTGATAAATTAGATTTAAAATACTATATATATAAAATAAATTTGATAAAAAAGAAAAAAAAATATATTTTAAACGGTGCAATGTGTCATGTGCGATGATCTAGAAAAAGGGCAATGAACGATGAACAAGGTATATATTCTTTGAGATCGAAATATAGGTAGGGTAAGCTTTGTGCCCGTGTGAACGAAAGTCGACCAACCAACCAACCAACCAACCAACCCCATTCCCTTTCTCTTTCTCTTTCTCTTGCTCTTTTCTTTTCCTTTCTTTTCTTTTCTTATATCTTCCATTCTTTTTTCCTTTAGGCATGTCATCGCGATTCTATTCACGCGCGTGCACTTCGACGGACAAGATATTTCATCGGATAGAACTTGGCTTTATTCTCATCCAATACTATCTCTTTACACACTATCTAACACATACACACGTTTCTGTAATACAGTATACGTAAAATAAAACAGTGTATGTTATACTAGTGTTCTTATGTAGGTGACAAAATGTTTGTCGAAACAATTTGTCCGATGTTAATAATCTCGGACAACTCTTTTACATCCAATCAAACTTGTTAACACAACTTTTCACCTGATATTGTTTCATAGTTAATTAGATTTTATTATTACGAACAAAAACAGAGGGAACGTATTACATTGACAACAACTTGTTGGGAGGGGAATGAGGGTTTAGAAATAAAACCGCATTGTCTCCTTAAGCGGTCAATCGATAGACCACCCCACCAAACTCAATATCTTTGGCGTGAAAGTAAAGAGAAAAAAAAAAAAGAAAAAAAAAAAAGAAAAAAAAAAAGAAAAAGGAAGAGTAGTCAGGAACCAATTTATCTTCTTAGCACGTCCCTTTAATCAGATCTAGTCTTCCCTAAATACACTCTTCTCCCATTCCAAGTGGAGAAACCGTAGTCATTGTTGCGATGTTGGTTGGTAGTTAGGTTTGAAAGAATGGGAAACGCGAATAGACATAGTACGCAATTATCGATAATATAAAAGATAATACACGGTATATACACGGTGAGTCATTTCAAATAAAATCTACTTGAGAGAAATAATCTATTTCAATTAATTTTGAAATCAAACAAAAACTTATCTAACAAAAGTTACTTGAAAAAGAGGGCTAGATAAATAGCATGATAATATGATCTCGTACGTTAATAGTTAATAATAATAATAATAATAATAATAATAATATTTTTGTACGTATCATTTAATATCATTTTAAAAGAGCTACAATTTAAATCGAATTAAATGGGGTAACACACAGAGGTATCATATCGTATCATACCGTAAGGTCAAAATAAGTTGATTTTTTGATTGATCAATAGAATTATTACTGATGGGTTGTTTAAAATGTCTCACTCGGTATATAATATATTATAAAGAGAAAGAGAGAGAGAATAGTTTAGGTCTGGTTCGTCGTTAACGTGTTCGGTTCGTAGGACAGTGCGAGAGAAGCGGAAGAGCCTACATAACAGGAAAAGAGGGAGGTCGATGCGAGAAGGAGAGAGAATAGATATGAGCTTCCTACGAGGGAGGAAAAGATTTATGATGCTCGTGCGTCAGCCAGCACGTCTCAATTTCGGGATGCCGCGAGTCAGGAACTCTGCTCTGCTCTGCTTTGCTCTTCTCAGCTCCCATGGTTCTCTTTCTCTTTCCTTTCTTTTTTTTGCCTTTGTTGTCCTATGGGATAAATGAGAGGAAGAGGATAAGAGGAAATAGGTATTGCGATAAGAGGAGCAGCCAACAAAAAAAACTCACTGAGATAGGGGTTGGTAGTGATGGTGGTGGTGGTGGTAGTGGTGGTGGTACGGGTGAAAGAAGAAAGAACACTGAATTCCGTCGAACCCGAGCTCAACGTGCGAGCCGAACCGAACTCTCCTAACTTTCTTTTCCCCTTTTCTTTCTTATTTTTTCTTATTTCTTTTCTTTTTTTTTTTTTTTTCATTTTAGTTTTAACACATCGTTCCCTCCGCGCACACCTTGAATTACATTCAAGTAAATACTCGGAGGATACTTCTATTAACCGGTTGTATTTTTATTTCTTCAGGAGTTGTTTCATTTTTTTTTTCTTCTCTATAAGAAGAGAAGGGTGCATTCGGGTTTTTATTATCCGCCAAAAGTTTAACTAAAACTCTTGACTATATAAGTTTTTTTATTTGGATAATGTCAAAATGGAGATTTAGAAAATTGAGTGGAGAGGGGGTGTTTGTTCGAATATATTTCTCACTGTAAAAGTTTGGATCTATCAAATGGACGTTATAAACTCGTGTCTTTTTTTTTTTTATTTTTATTATTTGTGTTCCCTAACAGTACTCGGGGATAAGATTGTATCGCGAAAAGTGGAAATAAAAGTAAGAGAAATTAAATTTCTCGGTGCGCTGGGTTTGGTTATACTGCAAGAAAAATAACGTACCATCGAAGAAGAAGAAGAAGAAGAAGAAGAAGAAGAGATACACATCCTACTATCGGTCGTAAATTCTGTCGACGAGGTTTTAGTTTCACAACGACGATTTCTTTCTTTCTTACTTAGTTACTTACTTGCTTGCTTGCTTACTTGCATTGTTTTTTTTTTTTTTATTTTACTGAAAGGATCCGTCCTAAGTAAACACGCGTCTTCCTTTCCACCATCTTTCTTCTTTGTTTAAACCTCGCGACAAGTTCAGAAAGAAAGAGAGAGAGAGAGAGAGGGGAAGAAAAAAAAAGTCAATGTCTTTTTTACCAAAACCACATTATTTTCCCTCAGAGTACAAATTTTGTCGCGATAAGCCCCCAAGGGTTACGAACGAAAGAAAAGTGGAAGAGAAAGATGAGGAATAGTGAACAAACAAAAAAAAATGTCATCGATTATTCACAAGTCGCCGGACAGAATGTCTGCAGATAGGATCCACGAGGTACCGATAAAACTTCTCTAGCCAGGACTATTATATTAACGCCGGAAATTGCAGGAGAGAATCGTCGATTATTCCGTCGGCATAGAAAAGTTTCAAAAGTTTCCACGATACCGATGATCTTCTTCTTATTCTTATTCTTCGTTCAATCTGTTTAGTTCCCAATCCCTTTTATCACTACCCCCCCCCCCCAAAGGATAATTTTAATTCGACTTTGATCGTTTATCTTTTTAATCGTAAAAAAAAAGCACGGAAACTAATGTAATAATCACATTGAATTGCAGTTAAAAGATATTCTCCTCCCACGTGAAAGGTTACAAAAAATTATTCGAAATCATTCGCATTCCATGGGTTTAAGAATTTCTCAAGGAAGCAATTGCGCGAGTTCTTTTTATATAATACAAAGAAGAAAAAGATATCTTCTCGTTCGTTTCTACACGGGTTTTGCCCATTTGAAAACTGGAAAAATCGTCAATAAGATTGTTGGATCGATTTCTTCTTTCCGATAGAGGAGGTAGTAGGTATCGTCGTTGGTCGACAAAAGGAAGTCATTTTTCGAGATCGAAATTCTCACGCCGTTTCCAGACCTCTTTTGTAAAAGAAAAATGGAGGATGCTACAATTTCCCGAGACATTTATCTTCTTATAGAAATATTGTGATATTTCTATAATATAAGATACTTTACTTTTTCGATACTTCAACTTTAGTTACTTAAAAGTGTCTAAGGACACATTTTTCTTTGCTAAACGATTGCGAGCTAATTATTTTTTATAATTTTGTCCTTTTTACGATTAAAGACAAAAAAATTAATTATAAATCGGTCGTATTAATAGGATAACGGACGTTCGATGTTGCACCCCACGTTGGGTGTTACGAGTAAAATGTAATTTTTGACAAATGTTGGATACATAAGTGAAAGCGTTTGATCGTCATCCCTTAGATAAATCATTTGATAACTCACCTGGTGGACAATTGCATTCGGCTATGTCTCGTTTGATCCTAAATAGTGCAGCGGAGGCAGCACTCGCGGGTGCAAGCCTGTGTTGCTCAAATTCCTCCCGAAGTTCCCTCCTGAGCCTTTGCACGAGGACATCAGGATCCTGGATCCTGCATCTTGCCTCGAGATTAACGATCCTCGATTCCAAGCGCATCTCACGATACGTCAGTATACCTGATACGGCAAGACTCGCCAGACAGAGGGCGCACATCATCCAATTTATACAGGACTCCTTACGGAAGTTCGTCGTCATAATAGTTGTTGTTGTTGTTGTCGTTGGTAAAATCGGCGTTATAACGCCGTCATTAGCACGATTACGTTCCTTCTTATCCCTAGACGCGTCCGACAATGTGGACGACCACTCAGTGGCAAGTCCCGTCGACTCCATCTTCTCCGCCTCCTAAAAATTCTCCACCCGCAATTCGAAGACTTCAGGCGCGCCTCATAATCGAACTAAAATCCCGATCTCTTTTTCCTCTTTTACCCTCCTTCTACGACAAATTCACAGCCGGCATTGTCCGGTTGGAAGCACCCAGCATGCTTTTCCTAAACTCTTTATACTCGAGATAATTTTCTATTTACTCGTTTTCTCTCTTTGTGTTTTTTTCTCAGACAAAAATTTAATCGCGAGATTTCACTCGCGTCTGATCAAACGTTAGATCTAACACCGTATCAAACAATCGCTTAACACGTTCAAATAATCTCGATCATCGAGTATATATATGTATAAATATATATTCTATATACATATAACAATATACCGCGAAAATGCAAACTTTCTTTTTCTATCGAAAAAAAAAAAGGTAAAACGTGGCGGCAAAATTTGACGTAACTTCCGTTTATATCGAGTAATAGAAAAAATGAAGACGGAACTAGGAGAGGAAAAACTATTCAAGAAAAAGAAGCTATTATCTGATTCTCTTTTAGATGAAAAGAGTTAAAAAGATAGGTGTCTCGCGTTCGGGTTAAAAGTAACACGGGAATGACACGAATACGAAGCTCACGGTATGGCATTCGCAGTACGACTGGATGTGGTGGGGCGAACGCTCAGCCGAGGGCCGAGGGTTCGTTGGTTCGCGCGCGCTCGCCTCTGCTCGGCCTTCTTCGTGGTCTCCAGCCACCGACTCATCCGCCGTCGGTCGGCGGCGGACGCGCGTGGACTTCCATTCGCACTGATTCGCCCCCACTGCCCCCCACCATGCACTCCTCTACCTTCTCAGACCCCCCACTAACCACCTCCACCACCACCTCCAGCCGCCTCCACACGTTCATTTTCTATCTCTATCTCTATCTCTATCTCTATTTCTATCTCTATCTTTATCTTTATCTTTATCTCTATTTTGCAGTACTACAGTACCACCACCACCACCATATCACCATCAGCATCAGCAGCAGCAGCGGCACCACCATCAGACGACACAAAGATTGCCACAGGAGCCACCGCCGTTCCATTCCCGAGGCTCCTTTTTTCCTTCTTGTCCATGTTTTTTCCTCGCTACCCATTATCCACTCGGATTACACGGCTGTGAGCACGAACAGGATTCCGAGGAACTCCTGCCTCGCGATCACCAAAACTCAAAAAGGGTATACTACGTATATATATATATACAACTCGACCGGTTGTTGCTAAAGAAAGAAAGAAATTAAAAAAGAGAAGGAGTAAATGGGATGTTCGATAGGCTCGTGTCGAGTGTCGCCAAGTTTTACGTTCACTGTCGACCATCGAAAGTACGACAAATTGAGCGGTCCGTCCAAGCTGACAGCTTAATTCCTAACCGGCATCCTTCGCGACTATCAATTAGTAGATCGCCGCTTGTCGATCGAACTAACCTCTCTTCCGCCTACCTACGAAAGGGGAATTTTAATAGAAGAACTTCCACCGTTAATACACATATCCCTACGGGGTGTTCCTAGGAAGCGTATGCACCGAGCACGCGTTCTATGAAGGACCTCATAATCGACTGACTATGAGAGAGAGAGAGAGAGAGAGAGAGAGAGAGAGATCGATCGATCGAATTGAAATGCTACCTTCGACGGATATATGCATGCCTGCTTTCTCTCTCTCTCTCTCTCTCTCTCTTCCTCTCTCTATCTGTCTGTCTGTCTGTCTGTCTATCTGTCTGTCTCTCTGTGTATATGTCGGCGACGACCCCTCTTTGCTAGCGCCCAATCGCCGACGGAGGAAACGATTATGGACTACATCCTGGAACGTACCTACTATACCGTATGAACGTATATGCGTATGTTGTATATTCGATGAGATGCTGAATCGACCGTCCTGACATCCTCGTGATGTCCACCCTAGAGAGAAAACCATTGGGGGGTCCGATAGGAAGCTGCTCGATCATAAGGAAATCGATTGGAAACTTAATTTACTTATTTAACTTTTTTTTCTTCTTTTTCTTCTTTTTCTTCTTCTATGAATTCTCATCGATCGACGATGAGAGAATAAAAATGAATTTTAATTATCATAAACGATTTTATATAAGCTCGATGAATATGCAATTTAGCGTCAGTCAAACCTAAAAGATCCGAACCACGCTCGAAAATACAACTAAGACAGCTGTGCAATCAAAACTTATCGACTCATAATCCTCCTCTCTTTCTGTTCATCGCACCAGTGAAAAGGATGAAGAAAAAGAAAGAGTAAAAGAAGAAGAAGAAAAAAAAAAATAAAAAAAAAAGGAAAGGACCTCGACATCCATTTAATAGCTTCACGCACGTGCCAAACGATCAACGTCGAATATAGTTTTCCAGTCGACCAAGTGGAAGACCAACTTGTTCATTTCTCATCTCTCTGTCTGTTCCACTAATACCATCTTACTTTCAATATCTTTTCTTAAAGATCGAACATCAAACTACAGAGAACTGTTTCCCGGTAATCGAATTAAGGGGGGGGGGGGTATATATATATATCCTTCCTATCCTTATGATATTCGATCAGAGATACGAAAAGTGAAACTTGTGGGAAAGAATACTTCAGATATTATTGGAAAAGTAATTCGTATTTGTTCTCATCCATCAGAACTGATACGATGTTACAGTTGGACATATAAAATATGAGAAAAAGAAACAAGTTAAACAAAAAAATAAAATAAACTTAACGTATTGGGCACACCATTTCACGTCTCTTTAAATGTGTCTCTTTGTTCGGTACGGTAATTTTATTCGGACAATCAATTTATCATAAAGGAATGAGAAAGACAGATGTACACATTGAATAGAAAGCCGTTTAACGAACCACTGACACGCAACTATGTTCCTCCACACGATTCTCGATTGGGTTGTATTAGAAATGAAAGGAATATTATTGTGTACATATATGTGAGTCAATTTATTTATCGATTATCCTGCAAAATAATATCCTTAACTCGTTATCATCGTTTATGGCATTAATATGATCATAAGTTAGGAAATCGGATGTCGGTGTAAAAGAGAAAGCTAACGGAGCAAACGTTCCCTTGACACTTGGAATAGAAAAAGATTTTGTAGTTGGGCACCTTCGAAGAGACACACGCGCCGCATTCCAATCCTCTGTCGTCCCAAATTCCCTCGAATCGTTTCGTTCTTACCAATATCACCTTACCATTTCTAACACACAAAACTGATACTCCTCGAAATAACGCAAAATAAAAAATAGTATAATATTTTTCATTGGCTTTCCAAATCGTTCCAAAAAAGGCTTCCTTTCGTATCTATCAGCGTGACAGGATCCACTTAAGAACTTACACACACCAAACGTAATCATCGGAATTTACTGTCTTTTGGCACGCATATCATGGATTTTAAAAGCCCTTTAAATGCTTCATAAATTTCATTCAACTCGCCGCTCTGTGAGATAAGCTGAACGTTCCTTAAAAAAAAAAAAAAAAAAGGAAAAAAGAATGAAAGAAAAATAAAAAAAAACATGTGTGCAGATCACACGTATTAGAAATGAAACATTCAAAAAACTAAATTTCGAGAGAATGAGACGAATGCAGAATATCAGATGTAGGATAATTGTAGGGTTCATTTGTTATAATATTATTATCATAATATTGTTATCACAATCAAAAATTATTATACGTTTTATTGATAACATATATAATAGATAACATATTTCACACTAAGCAAGTTCTCAATTTGAAGAAATGAGACGAGTTGCTTATGGTAACTAAAATATGTATGGTAACTAAACACCTCTCAGTGTGCACGAAATGCACGAACGCGTTTCGTCGAACACTTTGAAACTTCCCTAAAATTTTCTTCCTGCAGATTTTCACGACACTGTTCGGCGTTAATTTTGAGATACTTGCATCGCAATTCACAATATCCAATTGCGAATCATCTGAATAGAAAAAAAATAATGTTACAAAAGTGATCTATTGAGATTATGCTTGTCTAGTATCAGTAGAAAGGATTAAGAAAGAAATACAGGTATCCCTCAAACACCACGGTTTTTCCTAACACGATTTCGCTATAACACGATTAACAAATTGCAGCAAATCTTCCAACAACACGGTATTTTATGATACGGTTTCGTCATAAGCCTAAAATTCAAAAGAGAGCATCAAAACTGTCCAGCTTTATACAAGAGAAATTTACAATGACCCGGTAAGAAACAACAAGCAAAGTAATATTACAGATTTTTTAAAGACGGAAGAAGATGCAAAAGGTTTAGGTGAAGAAAAACGTTCTGAAAGTGAGGACAATATCATTCCTCCGAAAAAACGTTCTCAGTTGATTAAACTGAACAGTGACGATGAAGAAATTTATTAAATTAAAGTTGCGTTGTAAATTAAAAAAATATTTTTTATTTTATATTGTTCCTAAATTTATATTTTTAATAAAAATAAAGTGGTTTTTATTAAAAAACAAATAAAACAATTTTTGTTTTGTATTGTTCATATATTTATATTTCAAATAAGAATTAAGTTGGTCATTTAATAAAAAATTTTTTGTTTTTAAAAAGTTTTCGGAACGCAACTACCCTTTTTGCATTTGCAATGGGTCTCAAACAACACATTTTTAAATAACACGGCATTTTTTCTAGGAGCCTATCTACCGTGTTGTTGAAGGGAGACCTGTAGGCTGTAAGTGGGTTATAAGTAGGTTCTAAGCAGGTTCTAAGTAAATTCTAAGAAGGTTCTAAGTAGGTCCAAACTACGCTCTAAGTAGGTTCTAAAAAAGGTCCTAAGTAGGCTCCAAGTAGGTCCTAAGTAGGTTCTCAGTAGGTTCAAAGAAAGGTCCTAAGTAGG